AACCATTAAATGTCTTCCGAGGGGCTACAGAGGTGAAAAGTTCTAAAATATGAACATTTGTAGCAAGGGGAGATATTTGGGGGGGATTTTCCCCTTTAAATTAAAAAAAAGAAATCAATAAAAATTATCGGTTTTTCTGGGTTTTCTTCGCAATTTTTTCACTTATTTTCTACATATTTCAGCATCCCCCCTTTACCTCACACAAACACCCCAAATAATAAAAATACATAGCAGCAATTTTGGCTAAAAGCGGTTGAGTGGGCCCTCACAAGAAAGTTTGGAAGATTCACTGTACAACGTTGCCCCATTTTATTTTATTCACTGTTCTATAATTTTATGGCCATGAATTTGATTTGGAGGGGGGAAAGGATTATTTTAACACTTAAATTTAAAAATAAAAATATAATAAATAATAATATTTAATATAATATAAAATATAATAAATGTAATTTATAATATAGTACCTTCATCTGATGCTTGCTTTCCTCTTGTACCCTGAAGTAGAAGTTTTTCGTGCCAATGACCAGCAATATTCTGCCAACATGCTCGCATTCCACTTACCTGAAAATCTCCTCTCTAACTGAATAATGTCTTGATGGAACCGTACCCCGTGTTCATCCGAAACTGCTCATAAATTTTCAGGGGAAAAGTCCAGGTGTGAGTGAAGGTAAAGCACTTTAAGCCACATGTTGCACCACATGGCCTTGTAAGCTGACAGCAGTTCCTCGACATGAGCGACATAATCGTCACTTTTTTTGCTACCCAAAAAGTTCATACACACGTTTTTGAATGCAAGCCATGCTCGTTTTCCTTTGCGGTTCAGGTGTTTCATAAAGGTTGAATCTTTAAAAAGTTGTCTAATCTGGGGCCCACGAAAATTCCTTCCTTGATTTTAGCCTCACTAAGAAGAGGAAATTTAGTTTTCAAAAAGTTAAATCCATCACCTGTCTTATCCATTGCTTTCAAAAACTGTTTGATCAATCCGAGTTTGATGTGCAAAAGCGACAACGTTGTACAGTGAATCTTCCAAACTTTATTTTTATATATTCATTTTACTTATTATGCATTATATTTTTATTTTTAAATTTAAGTCTTAAAATAATCCTTTTCCCCCTCTAAATCAAATTCATAGCCATAAAATTACAGAACAGTGATAAAAATAAAGAGTAGCAACGTTGTACAGTGAATCTTCCAAACCTTCTTGTGAGGGCTTTGAGACCTCTCCCTCTCACCTGTTTTTAGCCAAAATTGTTGCTATATATTTTTATTATTTGGGGTATTTGGGTGAGGAAAAGGGAGGAGGGTGGGGGGGGGGGGCTGGAAGCTGAAATATGTAGAAAATAAGTGAAAAATTGAGAAAAAAAAACCTCAGAAAAACCGGTCATTTTTATTGATTTTTTTTTAAATTTAAGGGGACAAATCCCCACCCAAATCTCCCCACTTGCTACAAATGTTCATATTTCAGAACTTCTCACCTCTGTAGCCCCTCAGAAGACATTTAAAGGTTAAAATAATCGTTTCCCCCTTCCAAATCAAATCTATGTCAAATACTGAACAGTGATAAAATAAGGTCCTGAGAAAAATGGCAGGAGACAAAATAGGGGTCATATTCGAATTCAGGGGTCATTTTACATAAGAATTTGCAGAATGGTGTCGGGGCCTATTTTCATGCAGAGCAGTGTAATTTATAACCAACCTGCACATTGTGGCCTCATTTTCTTACCGCATTGTTTTAATAGCTTCGCCTTATATGATATTTGTTTTTTGTCTGTAAACACTTTAAATTGTTTGCCACTTTTTATTACTCTATTTGAAGTGTGATTTTTTTTAAAAATCCAATTCATTAATAATTATTTTTAACGTAGGATTACGTTCCTCCCATTGGGGTCTCAGGAAGGAAATTGATTCGCACTCCAAAACGCCACAAAACTTGGTATGGGAGATCCTCTATATCTCGGTAACTACATATGTTAAAAACATAACTAATGTCTTATTTTAGAGATAAAGGGTAACAACAGAAGTTACAAAAAAACTTACTTAAACTTAAAAACTTACGAGAAACTTCCAGAAACAAAAGAGTCACGCGAGTAAAGTAGTCCTATGCCTTTAACATCAGCGGCTGTTTGAAAAGATAGCCTCCTGTCATTTTTTTTACTTGAGCGTAACTAATAAAAATCATGAGTTAAGGATTCATGATAAACGGGAAATCTGACAGCTTCTATTCGTATAAAGGACTTGTAGCACCTAGGTACCACCTGAAGCAAAAGTCTGGATTAAGTTCCAGTGAACTGTGGTAGGTTGCCTGTCCTAAAGATACTTAGGGAGAACTAGTCCCCATTTGTATTTCGCCTAGAGGGAAAAAAGGAAAATCTCCAGCAGTGCGCAGCCGCATTGAGCAAAGCGTTTGTAAATTGCACATCATTCTACCAATTTTTGAATAATCCAGTTGGGGACTGGTGGAGCTCAACTTTCGCGTTCCTTATAGGTATTTACCTATTTTTAAGAATACCAATTTTTTCAAAAATACACCCTTTCTTACTTCGACTGAAATAACTATTGATTCTATATGGCTTTGCCGTATCTTTATAACTTTGTTGCTTTCAGACGGTTGATACTACGGCTTAAATGTATGTTGATAATCACACTCGGTTGGAAATCACAGTATTGTTCGAATTCATAATTCTAAAAGATTTTTTAATTTCTATGTGTGTTTACTGATATTTAAAATAATTACCCTTAATTTATTCGCAATTATTTAAGTTAATCTAATTGCACTTATTTATTAATCAGTGAAGTCAATCATTCGCCCATTTATTAGATATTCTTTATTCGGCGAACCGTCATTATAGTTATGATTTTATTTCATATTATTAAAATAAATCTTCTCTCGGTGCATTTTCCATTTGATAAGGTATAAGCGGAATGTGCATTTTACAATTCGAGTAGTCTGAAAT